CAACGGACCTGGGGAGAGGCAGGGCGCGTCGTCGCGGAAGCGCGCGGAGCCGAGCAGGAAGGGGCAGCGGCGCGCGGCGCGGCGGCACAGGTGGCTGGTGCGGTCGGCCAGCGCCTTGGCCTGCGGCGCCCACTCGTACAGCCCCACGTCCGCCAGCCACTGCGCACCGCACGCACACACAGCTCCTGGAAACGCTGCACTTCGAATCGGAACACCACGCACTTTCTCGACTGCTTTGCCTCTGTCGTAATACTTCATGATCCGGCAAACGTTCCTACAACTAGAAATTTGTTTTTTTTCGGCGTTGGGATTCAAAAGCAGGTTCTTAGGAGGTGGAATCCCTTTCACGTTACCCCTCACAGCTAAACTCAACCTTCATGACGCGTTAAAATAAAAAAAATAATATATTAACCTTAATTTGAGATGTATTCTTTTAGAACAGATTTCATGAAGGTACTACAAGGTGTTTCATGAAGGTGATACAAAATTGCATGTTCGCTTGCGACATTAAAAAATTTTGTAATTTTGGGTAATTAAGATGAGAAAGTTTAACAAAAATGAGACTTACGCCATTTTTAGGGTAAAGGACCGGCGTGTTTTAGAGAAATAATAAAATAAAAAAAGACATACTCACAAAATGTGGATACTGACTGTACAACTTGTTATAGGAAATAATTTACATATAAAACATATGCATTTTTTACCGACAATATAATTATCGCAATTCTAAATGTCTTGCTCAACGAGGCTTGGCAAGAGATAGGATGCAAGTGTTGACTGATGTGTTAGTTCGTGTCATGGTGTGTAAGTTCGTAATGTTATCGGAGAGCCAACTGTTTCTTATCTCCTGTAGTAGTAGTCTAGGTCCTTTCGCAATTGTTACTATTCCCTTTGTGCCAAAAATGTCCATTACTAACACGATAGATGGTTAACTGAGGTACGAGAAGAAATTCTACCAAAGCACAAGCTGTTTGCTCAAATGAGGCACTCTCGTGGATCAACCCGGTTTGGGATTAAGCGCCCACTAGTCAGTGAAGTCCTTTCTGAAGAATGTATGTATTACCGATTCGAACTGAGCGATAGTTTTTGAATCTGAGAGATGGTATTTACAACGTTCAGATGCCTAAATGGTAGTAAGCTAGAATTGGTTATCTAAGAGGTTAACAAAATAAAATTTGTATGGTTCATATTCATCGAGGAGTAGCAATTTTCAACTTCAATTGTAATAAAAAGTAGGCGTATAACGAAAAAGCCATCTTGGCGTATAAAAAAAAGACAGACTCAACATTATGTGGATACTGACAGTACAACTTGTTAGAGGAAATAATTTACTACATACAGAAACAAGATTTCTCCGCTTTTCGTAACCAGGGTGATTTAATATGAATTTTTACTATCGAAATGTTTATACGATTTTTGTCGCAAAATTACAATACTTTCTACTATGTTGATGCGTAGCTATGATTACCCAGATGATGTCAAAAGTATAACACGCAACAAAATAGTAGTCTGACGCACGCGTCATCCCATACATCTTCTCAACGGGTTTTGCACACGTTCCATTTGTCGACACACTTCAGGTGTTTGTCAACCAGACACTCGGGCATCCGACAGAG